TTAATATCTAGGAAATATAGAAGACTCATAATACTAAGTACTGAACCAAACATTCAATAAATAAATGGGCTAATGAACAATTGGTTCTGCAACGATGACATACAAGGGATAAATAAACACGAAAAAAATACTAGATTTTCTTAGCCATCAGAGAAATGCAAATTAAAACTACATTGATATTTAGTCTCACTGTAGTCAGAATGGCCACCATTAAGAGAATAAATACAAGTTCAGGAGAAGACATAGGGAAAGGGGAACCCTCCTGCATTCTTGGTGGGAATGTATATTAGTCCAAAGACTATGGAAATAAGTGTGGCAGTTCCATAAAAAACCCTATCATATGAACTGTCCACAACATGCCTGGGTATATTGTTGGAGGTCTATAAGTCAATGTACCACATAAGTACTTATACAATCATGTTTATAGCTGCACCAGTCACAATAGCTGAGTTGTTGAATAAGTCTAGGTTTTTATCAACAGATAAGTGGATAAAGAAAATGTGGCATATATAGATAATGAAGTTTTATTCAGTCTTCCTCAATGTACCACATAAATACTTATACAATCATGTTTATAGGTGCACTAGTTACAACAGCTAAGTTATTGAATAAGTCTAGGTTTCTATCAACAGATAAATGGATAAAGAAAATGTGGCATATATAGACAATGAAGTTTTATTCAGTCTTCAAGATAAATGAAATTATTTGATTTTCAGGAAAATGGATATAACTAACTGTCATTATACTGAACAAATATATTCAGATTGAGAAAGCAAAACATCATGTTTTTTAGATGTGGATGTATTATTCTGAGCAATTGAGCCTGGGTCTTTCCTGACCTGTTCTGAGCTGGGACAGTGGCGATGTCCTGCCATCTCCCACTGGGGCTTACACTCTGTTCCACAATTTGGCTTAAAGCCCAAACTGTCATGCATGTGTCCACCAATGACAGCCAAGTCCCCAGCAAACAGAGATTTCGTTTAATTGCTCCTCCTGGGTCCATTTAAAGAAATGGCTGTGAACATCCCTCCCAAGTGTTTTCCATGGACAGGGACAAAATTTACCAAAGATGAGCCTAAAATTCTTGGCAGTATAAGCTTAAATAGGGTGACAAAAGCTTCATCTGTCTGTACAGGAACTCAGTTTTACCAAGTTCCCAACTTTATCTGTGCTTGACAGAGAGAAAGTCATACATACAATGTGTTAGCTGCACAAAGGTGAAGTTTTATCAAGGTAATTATGAGTATTTCAAGGATTGTTTGTTCCGTGGGGGTGACATAAAACAGCTGGGGATAGTTTGTCTTGTAATCCTGCCTGCTTAATATCAGTGAATGCCATAAAGACAGTCCGTGTTAATTTAACCGAATGTATTTAGTTATGTAGCACCAGTAACATGGAGATATTTCTCCCTAGGTAGTATTACTGTTTGATCCATGAATGTGACAATGATGCAAACGAGATGCCAAATGGGGCTGAATTTAAGGCTTGTACGTCATCTCACAGCCATAAAAGCCCCCATGCCAGTTGTGGATGGGTGACTGCTTTTTTTTAACTCCTTTTTTTAAACATTTGCTAGGGTTCATGTAGGTTGGTGTTACACAAAAAAAGAATTCTGGACTAGAATCCAAAAGCTTGGGACTGAATACTAGCCTTGTCCGCTAATGCTCTGTGATGAGAACAAGGCATTTAGAGTGACTTTATAGATAGACTGGACAAAGTCATTTTGATTTAAAGCTAAATACTTGAAATTTTAGTTCTGATTTTTAGTTTTCTGTTATTGAGATATATTTCAAATAGGACTATGTATCTTCACATATAATAAAAGTACATTGGCTAAACATATATATATATATATATATATATATATATATATATATATATATATATATATATATATATATATATATATATATATATATATATAGTGTTTCTGAAAACCCTGAGCCCCTATAGAGATTTAAAAAATGAAGATGTTGTAAATTACTCATTCTTAATTACCATAAGATAGTAGTAATTTATTTGTGAAATGTTGGACCCTGAACTGGAACTAAAGTAAAATTTCACTAAAAATAAATTGTGTTCCTTATAAAATTCAACCCATTCTGGAAAATATGAAATTAAAATTTTAACTCCAGGGATTTTGAGTGCAGCTGTGTTTCTGAAGTGATGAAATCCACAATGTATATTGATTTTCTAGGAGGCTTAACAACTAGAGGATTCAGCATGTGGGTAAAATATCACTGTTTAAATATCCAGGGTGTGGTCATTGTGCTGTCTGGATGCAGCAGGAGTGTAAAATGGGTAGCTGGCATCTGAGGTCTTGCCCTTTCCACTCACATCCTTAGTGATAATCTATGAAGCTTGATGAGACCTGAAGCCAACCCCCTGGAATCTCACAGGAGAGTCAGCTTTGTTCTTTGCAGGAAAAGAGGAGACTTCACATCACTCTCATGGACACTCTTGGCACCCTGATCCCTTGCCTCCCTGTTGGCTAGCTGGACAAGGAGACTGTCCACCTTGCCTGGAAATCACTTGAAATGGGTAGTTTTCTGCAGGGAAATCTGTTCCTGTGGCTAAAAGGGCTTGTTGGAACTACTTTATCCCTGTAAAGATTCTTCATTCACGTTGGAGGCTTCTTTAGTGTTTCCTATCCTCACTTGGAACTGAGGGAAAAGAATCAGGTTCAAATTTTACTCTGTGGTGGGTTTTCTTGGTGCCCAGTAACATGTGTGACAGATGAAGTGCTCTACTGCTCTGTGAGTGTAGGGAATGAAGGCACTTGTCTCTTTCGGATGTAGCTATGGCAACACTACTATGTTTAATCTGTAGTGTACGCAGTGGAGGGATCACAATGGCTGGGGGAGTCAGTGTGTAAAATTCTAGTGGAGAGTGCAGACACCTAGACCATCACAGCAAACACTGATCCTTTTTATCCTGACTTATGTTCTCAGCCTCAGTTTTTCTTTCTCCCTTGCTGATGAACAGCTCACACTCTGGGCCATGGTGAGGAACACATGATATCACATTTATTTCTCTTGATCCAAATCATAAATTGAGAAAAAAAATACTCTTCAGTCTTTTATTCTCGAACAAAAATGAAATGAAACAAGCATATTGTGCTATTTCCTTCATCCAAACGATTGGGGTATCCTGATCCTCAGATCCCAGGAAGATACTGAGATGAAGGCCCAGCGTGTCCACCAGCACAGGTTCTGTCCTGAGTCAGCCTATTGCCATACACCACTGCAATGCCATGCTCTTCTGTTCAAAGGACACTTGTCGTCTTACAGAAGAGCAATATGACTTAAACTGTAGCTGACGCTTAGACAGTTTTCACAAGCATTTACTATTCTGGAAGTTTGGCAAAAAGGGGAATTCTTAGTTTAAAAAGGGTGTATTCTTAACCCTTTAATGACCAAGGAATTGAAAAGAAGGAAAGCAGAAATGCGGTGCTTTTCTCTCCAGCCATAGTGCACACTGACTGAAGAATAGAAATGTGGCTGCTGTTATTTGGACCAGATTTTCTTTAGCATTGAAATAACAAACTTAGTTGAACATCAGGCATAGCACTTGTGCCCCAAACCACACATGGGCACTTGAACCAGTGTTAGAGAGCCAGCTTCATCACAGGTCAACAGCACCTGTAATGGATCCTAGACCAAAGGTCAGGAGAGAATCTCCAGGGTTCATAAAAGAGGGAGTGACCCTTCCTTCCTGGGGAGAGGATGTTTGGAAAGAGGAGCAGATGAACCTTTTGGCTTTTGATAAGGAGGGCCTCCTGGCTGAGGAGGTTGTAGGAACTGCCCAAAAAATCCTGATGTGACATTTGCAGAGAGCTGGCTGTGGCCGTGGCTGTGTCTGTGTCTGTGTCCATGTCCGTGGCTGTGTCTGTGCCAGTGTCTGTGTCTGTGTCCATGTCCGTGGCTGTGTCTGTGCCAGTGTCTGTGTCTGTGTCCATGGTCATGGTTGTGTGCATGGTTGTGTCTGTGTCTGTGGCCATGGTTGTGGCCATGTCTATGTCTGTGACTTTGAGGGTTAAGACAGGTAAGAAGAGGAGGAGACTTCTTCTGTACTGTATTTGCTCTACCATCAGTGAGGAGTTGCTGACTCATTAGAAGGAGCTCATATATACACACCTGCCTGTCAGGAAAGCTACTCTAGAGAAAAAACAGAAAACACATGAGCAAAAACAATGAACTGAAAACCAAGCTTGGTCTGTTATGCATGAGTTATTTTGCCTCCAGATACATAACCAAATACCTCTTTATTAATTTTTGTGCTTTAACTCTTAATGATTGTGCATATTATTTTAAAATTTCCACTGTATTTAAAAGGTATCAGCAAGAGGCTGTCAGTGCATCATTTTGATAAGTATCCAGCACCACACTGATAAACTCAATTTGGAGAGTATAGGTACCTTTGTAATTTCCAGGCCTAAATTATTTTGATCCGAGAGGATTTTTTGAAATTATTTACCCCAGAAAAATTTCCAGAAAGGAAAGTGTTGCTCAAATGGAAAACTCTGTGTGTGTGTGTGTGTGTGTGTGTGTGTGTGTGTGTGTGTGTGTGTGTGTGTTCTGGTGCACTTGCGTGTACTGATACCCATACTCCTGAGTCCAAATGCATATGGAGGCCAGAGGACAACTTTGGACACTATTCCTCAAGCCCCACCCTCCTGTTTTTTGAGGCCATGTGAATGCTGTCAGTCAACTTACTGAGTTGATCAAGTTGTGGATGACAGAGTGGATCTTTGATTTAATTTGCTTCTCTTTGGCTGAGATCGATTGAAAATTAATGAACTTAATTGGTGACTTGCACTTATTTTTTATGAACTGAATGATCACTCTCTTTGTTTATGTAGCAGTAGGGTGTTTGTCTTAGTATATTGCAATGAAGCTGTATGTTATCATTCATTAATGCCACATTTTCAGGAATGAATGAAACATGGCAATGACCTTTCTTAAGAAACCTTTCACCTCTTTTTCTAGCCCTGAAATCTTATGAAAACATGGGTCGATAATCACCTAATAGTCTCTGCTATCCTTCTCAGTCAAGGACAATGAGAAACCAGACCCTGGTGACAGAGTTCATCCTTCAGGGCTTCTCTGAGCACCCTCAGTACCAGCTGCTCTTATTTATCTGTTTCCTCTCTCTCTACTCTGTGGCCCTCATAGGTAATGTCCTTATCATCCTGGCCATCACCTGCAACCCTGGGCTCCACACCCCCATGTACTTTTTCTTGTTCAATTTGGCTACCATGGATATTATCTGTACCTCTTCCATTATGCCCAAGGCCCTGAAGGGTCTGGTGTCAGAGAGGAACCCCATCTCCTACGGTGGCTGTATGGCCCAGCTCTATTTCCTTACGTGGGCTGCATCCTCAGAGTTGCTCCTTCTCACGGTCATGGCCTATGACCGTTATGCAGCCATCTGCCATCCTCTGCATTATGGCACCATGATGAGCAAAGCATTTTGCAGCATGTTGGCTGCTGGAGTGTGGGCGCTCTGTGCTTTCAACACAGCCATTCACACAGGACTGATGACACGCTTGAATTTCTGTGGCCCCAATGTCATTACACATTTCTTCTGTGAGGTACCACCTCTCCTGCTTCTCTCCTGTAGCTCCACCTATGTGAACAGTATCATGATTGTCTTGGCTGATGCTTTTTATGGCATATTGAACTTCCTGATGACCATTGTGTCATATGGCTTCATCATTTCCAGCATCCTGAAGATGCGGACCTCAGAAGGGAAGCAGAAAGCCTTCTCTACCTGCTCTTCCCACCTCATTGTGGTGTGCATGTATTACACTGCTGTCTTCTATGCCTACATAAGCCCCGTCTCTAGCTACAACCCAGAGAAGAGCAAGTTGGCTGGTGTGCTGTACACCATGCTGAGCCCTACACTCAACCCTCTCATCTATACTTTGAGAAACAAGGAGGTCAAAGCCGCTCTCAGGAAACTTTTCCCTTTCCTCAAAAATTAAAATGTGATTCCCGAAGTTCTTCTCTTGGGGCTGGAGTTTCATTGTGGATTGGTTTCCCATGGGCAAATGATGGGTTGTTTGTGTGCTGAAGAAGTAAGCTAACCTTTGCCACCCAGTGCAATGTCTTTGTAGACGACCTCAGAGCTCTGGTCAACCGACACTGACTGACGGAAGAGTGTGGTCTCTAAGCCTGAGAAATGGGGTCTCTGGGCCTGACCCCAGGATGATGCAATACTGTATTATCAGAGAAACAAAACCCTTTAAGAGGACAGAAGTGCCCCCTGAGTCTCACAGCTGTATGGAAACGCCTTTCTTTCCTTTGGATATATAGCATCCATGTGGAGATCACACTTAGAATTGAAGGGATATGTGTGGACCCTGTAATATTTTGAGGATTGCATGACTCAAGAATTGCTTCACATGACTTCTGGTCCCCAAGAAACTAACCCACTCCTTCTATTTTCCTCCAACTCTTCCTGTTGGAGCCCTTTAAGCCCCAAAGACAGTTTTTGATGTTAATGTGAACGATTGTTTCTGCTTTCCCCTTTTCCTCTCACTAACATTAGACTCAAGGTGAAACAAAATTTAAAAACTCCTTTACCACATGATATGTGGTTTATACACCTAGAAAAATACCCAGGGTTTCTCACCTCTTGAGTCAGTCTTTGAATTGAGAGTCTGACCCACTTCATCGCCCTGGGCACAGGTGATATGAGTTAGCTGTAACAAAAGCACTGGAAGAAGGCACCCTCATCCTTCTGCTGTTTCTGAACAAACCTGGGTGGACAAATCTGTATCTACTGCAGAGAGATCTTGAGTCTGTTCTTGTGTTAGAAACCCTTTTGGGAAAGTCCATTCTCTTCGTCATGATGATGGGAAAAACGGGAATACTTAGCTATGTCTTTGGGAATTAATAAAACCACATATTATTTGCCAGATTAGATGGAAACTAAGAATAGAAGTTGATATTGATTTAGAATGGACGAGCTGTCTTTGGTTCTTCATTCATATTCTCATTATCCTTCATCAAAAGCAAACTGATTTTTGAACATGAAATTTGAGAAGTAGATGAATTGTGGTTGACTATGGGCTTTATATGTTGATTCTTATGGACTAGGTCTAATCTCCACAATGAAATTCTGACACCCTAATAACATTTTGATGCTTTCAGTGACCTTCAGGATTTCTCAGTAAACATGACCTTGTCAACAGCTGCTGATGACTCAATATGATACTAATAGATTTTCAGCATGCTATGTAGCATATTTATTATTTTTCCACCTTAGCTTCTAATAATTTTTCCAATCTTTATATTTATGAAGAATTTTAAAGGAATGTTGAGACAAATATTGAGAGTTCAAATGAGCATTAACAAACAGAAATTTGACAAATCAGAAATTTGAGGCAATGTATAGGAAGCTGTTATTTAACAAGACAAATACAGGTGTAAAGGCAGTGCCAAGCAATGTTGTCATCCAAGGTCAGAGAGCAAGTGAGAATGTGGCAAAAGCCTAGATATTGATTGGCAGAAGCACTAAATCAATTTGAACTCTAGTTTCCCTCTAAGCATAATAAAGACAAAAGTCAACCTAGGGCTTGAGTGAAATAACTGACAAAAATGATATCAAGTGTTTTATGCAATAAAACATCATTCTTAGCGAGTGTTCACTGAGGACCAGAGTTGTTGTGGAAACCTGAATATTACACTCTCAGGTTCACATTGGCTAGTGATGGCTGGCTGGACTACTGGGGTGAAATTGTATGAGACCACAGTTAATTCTCTGAAATGATCCAATGGAGAGGAGCAACTGGTGTGGGTAGATGAGAGACCTTATCCCAGTGGTTGCTGGTGTCACAGGTGAACCTTGTGCATCTCAGTAACTTATAGAGGCTGAATACCACCATTTGTTTTCAAGAGAGGCCAAAGGGGAGAGTTCCCTGGAGATAGCAATTCAGCCTTCTCTTAGTCTGAGTCCTTCCCAGACCCCGTTATCATCTTCTTTCAGTCCGGACATGTTTCTCCCATCTGCACATTCCAATAGGTCTATTTGTGTTCAGATCACTCTGTCCTCCTTGCCCAGCTGAACACTATTTTGATCTCTGCTTTATTTTGTTGCTTACGCTGTCTGGTGGAATGCCTCTACCTTATTTCCTTGTATTGCAGGGACATATGTGTCTGTTTCCTCCAACAGCCTAGCAACTATGTCTTTGTTCTATTGTGGATCCCTTTGTAGGAACCAGTACAATTTCCCACAGGCAGGAATCAGTTCTTCTTTTCATGTAGTGTTATCCCTTAAATTTAGTCCTGTCACCTAACATGAGGAGCCCTAGAGAGGAAGTAACAGATTCCATGTCGAACATGTCTCTGTTTTCTGTCCTTGATAACACAGATCAGTCCAGGTAAGCACATCTTTTCTTTGAACCATCCCCTGTCACAGGTCCTTATTCTCTCGATGTTCTTGACCCAATTGAACCTCTTGGTGTGGTAGAAACCAGATTGGTTTGCTAGTACCAGCTACTACCATACACAGAAAGTCTGGATGGAGGACCCAGGTGATGGGTCTTCATGTACATGGTAAACTCTCTCTAAGCATGGTATGCAGACAATCATAGGTTGCAATGTTTCCTCATTTTGGTTCCATGTCACATTCAAGAACCAAGTGAAGTGTCTTAGAGTTCAGCAGTAGATGATTCTAAGGCTCAGGATTTGATCTCCAGCACTGGAAATCAGACAGAGAAACACACACACACACACACACACACACACATACACACACACACACACACACACACACACACACACACACACACAGGGAAAACCCAGTCTCTTGGTCTTGCTTTGTCCATTATGAGGGTATGAATTTTGTCCATTATGAGGGTATGAATGCCTCATGACTCCAGCAGGTTAGAATTCCCAACCTCCTGCATCTGAACATATCCAAAGGATCAGGAGAAAGTAAGCTGACTACAAGCATCCATTTCCTCTGCTTTCTGAATGCAGATGCAATGTGACCAGCTGCCTCATGCTCCTGCCTCCCTGCCTTCCACGCCATGATGGACTGTACCTTGGTACTGTACTGTGAGCAAAAATAACCCGCCATTCTATAAGTTTCTTTTGTCAAGTGTTCATTATACCAATGAGAAAAGTAACTATTACATCCATTCATTGAAATCTATGTGAAATTCAGGAAAGAAATCTTTTAAATGTACAATGTGAGAAAGTTTTCATTTATTTTACAACTTTCCAGAACATATAAGATGGCACACTAGGGAGAAATTCTGTAACTATAATCACTGTGAAAATACTTTATTGTTCCAGCTTATTTACTTGAATGTAAGTCAGGTTTGAAAATTCTCACATTGTCTCACCCTTACAAAAATCAAATATCAAAGCTACAGAAAAAATGGTCGTGAAAAATGCTTTCAAAGTCATCTGAAAATGACTACTGGAAATAAATGTATTATATTAACCCAATATAAATTAATTTATGTATGATGTTGGAGAACATGTGTAATGTGAAAGAAATGTTGTAAAAACACTGTCTCTCTTATCACATGATTTTGTGTTAGTGTGTATTAATTGTGCTAATTATGGCCTTCATTATGGCATTTTCATACATGCTTGTTATGTATTTGGTCATATTCAATCCTTAATTTGTAAAGTAGATTTTTGGGTGGTAGAATTCCTCTTTCATGGTTATAATATTTAAGAAACATGTGTAATTGAAAAACTACAAAAAGAGAAAGAAACATGTGTAAGTCTAGTACATGTGATTTTTATTTAAATCACCAATAAAAATTTTCCATTTTGAGAAAATAATGTGTATGGCTCTGTAATTGCTACAGGAAAGGAACACTATTCCAACATGCTACCATGGACCTTTTTCAGTTGCAAAAGGTGCAGGCTCCCTTCTCTCAACCATCCCCTTGCCACAAACAAAATGTACAAAGAATGGATTTCAAAGGACATTTATTTGTGTAAAGAAACAACAGGAATTTGATAAGTTAGACAGAAGTGGGAGTGGGAAAGAGGCTATGGAGAAGGAATGAGAGGGAAGGACAGAGACGTGTGGAGTGGATATGGTAGAAATCTGTGACATGCTAGAAAAGTCCAGATTTATATATATCAAAAGAGCAAAACATCCATTGCTTGGTTTCCTCCTCCAGAAAATTCACTTCTGAGTCAGCCACACAAGACATTCTGCACTTGGAAGATACCATCTAAGACATAATCCAGGGCAGCTGCATGGAGGTTTAGAAAGAGGCTGGAGGTACCCTAGTTCTTTGGTTCTGTTTTGCCCAGGCCCCAGACATGGGAATGAGGAAGGTTTTTTTAATACTTCTATCTCAAGCTCCAGTCATTGCTGATCACAGCCTTGTGAGAACCCCTGAGTGGAAACAACCTGAACCATCAGGTGAGCCCAGTCAGCTCTCAAAACTCCAAGGAAAAGTAGGAAAAGGGGTTTGTTTTGTGTTTTGATTTATGCTATTTGGAATGCATTGTCCAGAAGTCAAGACCCCCATCCCTTGGTCTTTCATTGAATATTATTTGTGCTGTCCTAATACTCTTGGGTGTGGAGTCTGTAATGGAGCACAGCTGGACTACCATGAATCACATCCTTAAACAAAACTGGCACTCCCTACTCCCACATCTACACATTGCCAATATTTCCTCAGCTAGGGATGGCACTTCATGTTCACCACTACCCGCTTGCTGGGATTTTGTCTCATTTGAGCTTGTGTAGGTCACAACCACATCAAGTTGATATAGACAATTCCCTGTTATGTCCAGAAAACACTTTCCCTGTAGTCCTCCACCATCTCTGGCTTGCATAATCTTTCCAAACCCTCTTCCATGATGATCCATGAACTTTCAGAAGAAGGGTTTGATATAGATATCCCATTTGTTGTTGAGCACCCTGTAGTTCTTATTCTGTGCATGATGACCAGTTGTGGGTCTATGTGTTCATTGCCATCTATTGCAAGAAGAAGATTCTTTG